GTTGATGGGTGAAAGCCCCTGAGAGAAGTCCGTGGAAGCAGGGAGTCGAGATAGGGGCTAAAATCCCAGCCTTTTGTCCTGAACCTGTATCCCTCCTGTTGGAATCCCATGTGGGGCCGACCATGGTAGAAGAGAAACTTGAACTCTCTGAGCCAAACAGGGTATGTGTTCACTTCCCTACTGCTCCCCCTCCCACCCTAGCCCTCTGGAAATCCCAGCCTGCCTCAGCTGTGCCGAGAAGAGAAGGGGATATAGATTTGGGTTCTGTCCAGGGAAACTGAATCCCCAGCATCCAGCATGGAAGTGGCCCAAGGTGAGAGCTCCCCCTAGTGGAAGGTGGGATTCCAGAGGCCCGATGGACCCTCTTCTGGAACTGTCCACTATACGTTCATTCAGCCAAGCCTTCATTGATCCATTCACCACACTTACTGAGCATTTCTGCATGCCGGGCAGTGTGCGGCGCGGGGGAGACAGGTCAGATGTGCAATCACAGACTGTAGAAAAGAGAATGAAAGAGAGTCCGGGGGATGTCCAAGGAGGACCCCTATTTAGGTGGAGGAGGCAGGGAGGGCTCTCTAGAGGAAGCACGCTCAGCTTAAACCTGCAGGTTGATTGGCCCGGCAAAGAAGAGGGAGGAAAGAGAGACCCTGGTGGAGAGAGTGGCTCCTACTCACACCTGAGGATGACAGGAAGCAGGGACTCTCCATCCAGGAGCTGCAAGTGGTCCAGCCTGGCGGCAGCATGGCATTTCCTCTGGGAACCAGGCCATGAAAGGCCTCAGCCCTAGGATACTTTGATGAAGGCCATGAGCTCTTGGAGGATTTTAAGTAGGGAGGTGGTCTGATCTGATTTGCAGTTTAGAAAGATCACTCTGCAGTCAGGCATGGTAATTACAGGCTCATGCTTGTAATCCTAGCACTTTGGGAGGCTGAGGCAGGAGGATCACTTAAGCTCAGGAGTTTGAGACCAGCCTGGGCAACACAGGAAACTGCCTTCCCAAGGCAGCCACAGCCACCAGCTGTGGATGGTTGGATGCTGGGGCCAGAGCCTTTGCAGAGGCAGAAGGGTTGCAAATTTACTGGGAGCCAGATATCTCCTTCTTCAGAGCATTGGAATGGAGCAGAGAGACAGAGAGTGAGAGAGAGAGAGAGAGAGAGAGAGAGAGAGAGAGAGAGAGAGAGGAAGGTGCTTGTCAATTTCACTTTAGGAAAATTGTCTCCATGATGTTTATTGCCAACTGCAATTTGGCATCTCTATTCAGGTGCTCTTTGTGTTTAATTATATATAATATGGTGGTGGGGAAGAAGGAGAGAAATGAGTACACAGTGTGATTTTCTCCTCAGTCCCTACCCACCCCCCTCACCACCAGGGTTATAAAGGTCAGAGGTGAGAAATCGACTCCAGCAGAAGGAGGGACTGGAAGGGCAGCTGTGAGTTCATTGCCAAGCCTGGACCGCTGGGAAGCAGCCTGTGCCCCTGGCCACAGGCTCAGTCTCTGCAGGCTCCTGGGTTTCAGGTGGCTGCAGCTCAGACTGCGTAATATTGCGACAAGCCCGGCAATCCTCTGGGTCCATGGCCAGGTGGGTCTCAAGGGTAGGCTCAGCCCTCTCACCTTAGACCACAGCCCTCTGGGCTTTTCACGTATCTGTATTGAAGAGTCTTGGTTTCCCGGGAGGCACCCCCAAGTGCCCCTTCTTCATCGAGCCTCCCAGCTCCCACCTTCCCCTCCTGATCCTCACCCTCTCTCCAGAGCTGGGAGAGTGAAGCACAATGAGTTCATTTGCTTGTTTAATTGCATAGGGAAGGGAAATAAATTAAACTCCTCAACAGGAATCTTCCCTGCAGGGCCAGAAATGGAATGAGGGTGTGGGGACCCCATCTCAGCACCCCCTGCCTGCCCAGGAGATACCCCCACCCTCACTCTACCTCCATGCCCTAGATCCCAGGATCAGAGCAGCGTCTGGGTTACAGGGCCATGGCGACATAGAGGAGACTCCTTCCCACCCTGACTGGGAGCTCCTCTTGGGACTGGAGTACGGTTGGGGAGGGGAGCTGGGGGAGAAGTGGCAAGGGCAGAGCACTGCCTCCGGGTCTGACTCTCACCTCTGACTCTCCTTGGCTCACTAGAGTTTCTGTCTCTGATTCTCTTTTCTGTCTTTTGTTTCCAGAAAAGCCCCGCCCCCAGAGGGGTCCAGGAAGTGCAGCCAGGCTCCTGGGGGGCACCATGGCTGTGTTCCTCATCTTAGGTGCTGTGCTCACTGTCTTCTACCTGTACAACCGGCAGCAGAAGAGCCTGCTGGGGACAGACGGGGCCGGGTGAGCATGGCAGGACTCTGCCCACCAAACTCTTGCTGGTCTGCTCCCCCACCACCCTGGGAACCCTAGACTTAAAGCACCTGAACTTGTGGAAGCTTGGGGACTTTCTAGGGCCTCCCCACGCCCCACCCCAACTCTGGGGGGCAAGGAAGAGCTGACCCTCCTGATTGGCAATTGCTGCGTGCCAGGCACCGCCCCAGTCCTGCGGGGCTTCATAAAGATGCATTTGGTCCTCACAGCAGCTGGAAGGGGAAGGTGCATGATTACAATCCATGATTTATAGTGAGGAAACTGAGGCACAGAGAGGTTAAATAATTTACAAGAGTTGACCTGCTCCCAGCCATTGACAAGGGGTGCGTGCTGGCAGACCCAGGGCCAGGGAGGTGAGAGAGACACAAAGTTGGGGGAAGCCAAAACCCCTAACCGTCACAAGAAATCATATTTTAATGCGATATTTAAAAAAATCAAAACAAAAGCAAAAATCCATGATGAACAAATGTCCACCTACATTTTGTTCGTCATGGATTTTTACGCTGATTTTCATCTTTAAAATCTTGCATCACATGTTATTTCTCATGCTAGCTGAGGCTGTCAGTGCCACATACGGCGCACATGAAGTCTCACCCCCGCCCCAGGTGAGGGTCCACGGTGCTGCTGCTGGTTCCCCACTGTCCTTTGAGCTAGGAAACCTGAGACTCGCATGGCTCCCCTCCGGAGCTGGGCTGGGGTCAGGGACAGAGACACCTGGGAAAGGTGGCCGGGCACCCTCGGCCTCTAACCCAAGACCCTGAGGAGCCCCAGCCCAAGCTCTGGCCTGTCAGGAGGCTGCCTGGGAAGCAGAGCCCCATGGCCTGCTGGGGCTGAGGGACCGGTAGCTGTCTGGTGGCCCGATGGGCAGAGCCCCCATGTGCGATCCTGTGCTAACCTTACCCTCGTTCTGTCCCCAGGACCGACCTGCCCCTCTCCCAGAAGCTGGAGTCTTCTCCCAGCAGGCAGGGCTGCCTTGCACCTGAGGATATCCAGGTGGGCCTAAGGCAGCAGAGGACAAGGTCCCTGGACCCCGGGGAGGGAGAAAAATGGGAGATGGCCCCAGGGAGGAAACCCAAGCTGAAGGCGGAGCCACCACACCTCCATGGGTGGGGCTCCATCTCCCCCACCCTGAGAGATGACAAACTAGGACCCTTCCTACACAGGGCCCCCAGGGACCTCTTCCTCCACCTCACAGTCCATTCATTCATTTAAAAAAATGCATTGAGCACATCTCAGGTGCCTGGCCCCAAGTTGGGCCCCTGCTAGAGCCAGCAAAGCTAAAGGCTCAGGGGCACTTGTGCCCTCCAAGACGGCCACCAGTATAGGGGATGCCAGGATGGGTTGCATGGGAACTAAAAAGAGGGGTCCCAATCAAACTGGGGTTCTGTGAGGGTCGCCTGGAGCAGGGACATGGAAAACTCTGTGCAGCACTCACCGCCTTCTCTTCCAGGTTGTCCACCTGGACACAGGGAGGCAGTGGCAGCAAGAAGAGGAGGAGCTGCAGAAGCTGTCCCTGCAGCCCCCCTACTATGATCTGGGGGTCTCCCCTTCCTACTACCCCTCGGTGAGGACAACTGAACTTGGAGGAGAGTGCCCCCAGCCCAGCCCCACCCATCCGGGCCATGAGCCTTAGAGGGGAAACCAGACAGAGGAGGTGGAGGCGGTGAGGGCTGGGAGGAAAAGGGGAGCCCACCCAAGACAGAGCCATGGCCCCTCAGGGCTGCGCCACTGTAGGCACCCTGGGCAAAGAGGGACTGGACGCTGGACAGACCATTCTGGGAGACTGGCATTTCCAATGAGCCTGGCCCCAGCCTGATGCCCAGCTCTCCCTCCCCCAAGCCCTACCTCCAGCTCTGTACCCTGCACCTTAGCTCCCAGTGCTGCCAGTGGCCCCTCCTCCTGGCCCCACTCCTAGCCACTCAGAGGGCCAGAGTCCACTTGAATGGCTGCCACCTTTGCCCATAGCTGCCTCCTTTCAGCAGACTTGGGGGTTAGGGGTGTTACCTACACAGTGCAGCCCAGAGACCCAAGCCAGACCGCCTGGGCCCAAAGATAGCACACGCTCCCCTGGCACTGGCAGGAGAGCCAGGCCTTTGTCTCCATGGTGCAGCCATCCTCACTCTTGGCAGGAAGTGCCAACATCAGCCCATCTGGAGGTGCCAAATCCTGCCCCCAGGGAGGTAGCATCCCCTTGCCAGGGTGCTGAGCCCAGACAGCCAGCCCAGCCTCCACATTTTGATACTACCCAGGGCACAAAGGAATGCCAGCTCTTTGCTATTCCTCAAGCAACCTAGAGACACGGAAGTGAGCTAGAACTCACTGTGGACACCAAGTCCGTTCTTCAAATGGCAGCTGAGCAGCCCCTGTGCCACTCTCCTTCCCATCTGAGGGGCACCTCTCACATTCCTGTCTGTACTGCATGGGCCTGCCAGTTCCAACAGAAGGGATCATAATGGCAGCATGGAGCACGTGCTGCATGCCAGGCACCTGGCTAGTCACTTTTCAAACACTGCTCTTATCACATAGATGGTTCAACAATCTATATGATAAGTGCTTCCGTTGCCCCATTTTATAGATAAGGAAACAGAGGCTCAGGGAACTTGAAGTGTCTTCGTCTGTTTTGTGATGCTAAAGCAAAATACCTGAGACTGGGCAATATGTAAAGAAAGGAGATTTATTTCTGACAGTTCTAGAGGCTGGAAAGTCGAAGGTCAAGGGGCCTGTTTCTAGCAAGAGCCTTCTTGCTGCGTCATCCCATGGTAGAAGGCCGGCAGGCAAGAGAGCGCGCTCAGAGCGAGAGAGCAGGGAGGGGCCCGACTCGCTTTCATCACATGCCCACGCTCTCCATAACTAACCTGCTCCCTTGATAGAGACAATCCATCCATGACGGTGGTGTCCCACGACCTAATCACCTCATTAGGCCCCACCTTCCACACCCTTACATTGAGGATAGATACACTTGCCAACAGGACACATGAATTTGGGGGGACACATTCAAACCATAACAAAGGTTTGCCCGAGATCACCCAGAGGCACTGGGGAAGGCTTCACACCCCAGGACCCTGGCTCTCGAGTCCAGGTCCTGAGCAGGCGGCAGCCAGCATGATGAGCAGACGCTGGGCAGTTCACCTGAGCACAGGGGAGGCTGGGCAGGGCTTGTGAGCCTCGGGGCCACCTGGCACCACTAATGCCGAGCCTGCTGCAGCTCTGGCTTACTGTCAGCAGGAGGTCCCAGCTCTGCTGCCTGGCGGCCCCTCAGCTCCAAGAGCCCAGAGAGTGGACACACAGCCCAGAGAGCTTGGGTTCAGAGTCCTAAGTTGGGGGCCAGGGCGTTACAGGCACCAAGCAGGGTAAGAGTCTCCCACCTGCAGACGCCAGCTCACCCACGCCTGACTCGGGACAGAGAGAGCACATCATCCCAGGCCCAAAAGCGAGGGAGGCAGGGGAGCAGGGAGACCACTATTTCCGGAAAGGAGAAAGCCATACTCCACTTGGGGTTCTCCAAATGGGCCTTTTCCTTCCACCCCCAGTCAAGACTCACTAACCTCACTTGTCACAGCCATGGTGAAAGAAGGGAGGAAAAAGAGGGGGGCAGTGGGAGCCTGGTGCTGGAGGGAAAAGGAAGATGATGGAAGGGAACAATTTGGAAAACTGTGGAAGACTCCAGTGGGATCCCCCGTAGAGCGGGCCCAGGCTCGGCATAAAAATCTCTGTGATGGAATGAACAGCTGCAGCTGGCCCTAATCCCCACTGACGACTTCTCGGTCTTGCTCTCTGACTGCTGCCCCCACGCCTGGCATACACAGCCCTCCCTGGGGCACAAGGAGCAGCTTCAGGACAGTGCCCACCGCCCTGGCCCATCCCTCTGCAAATCCTCCTTTCCCTCCCCTCCTCCCTCATCCAAGCCCAGATGCCAGGTCATGGCCCTGACTTTTCCTCCTCCCTCGCCACCTTCCTCCCTGGGCTCTGCTTATGTTGGGTTATTGGAATTCCCTGATGAGCATATCCATTCAAGAGCCACTTGGGACAGAGAATACAGTGAGCCCACCTCCACCTACCAGCCATGGGCAGGAGGGGCCGGTCGAGGGGGCCAGGAGAGCACCTACACCCTTTGTCCTGAACCCAGGGGCCGTGGTTAGGGCATCTGGGTGGACAGAAGCTTGTGAACGGCCTGCAGGGTGTTGTGTGGAAGTCACCAGTGGAAGGGGGGCTCTGGCGTCCTGGGGAGGCTCTGTTTGTGGTGGCCAAGAAAAGTGTAATTCTTTTTGGCTTACAGAGCAATTACCCGGTGAGAAAAGGATTTATTCCCAGAACTCAGGTTTGTTGGTGGTGCAGCTTGCATACAAGTCACATTATTGATGTCATCAATTCTCCTTCCTAACAAGTCATGAGAAGGAGCCAGGCAGAGAGCATGCACTGCTCACCACGGGCACTCCAAGGGAGGAGGGAAGCCTGCAGGGAGCCCGGGGACCAAGCTCAGCGGCCCCAGCCTGGGTGGGCCCAGGCCCCTCTGTGTGGGCCAGTCCCAATGGTGATCACTGAGGCCGGGGCACTCCACTCGACGTCCACCAAGGTTTCTGGGCCAGGGATCACTCAGGTGGCAGGAGAGCTGAGAGGCTCTAAACTAGGTCTGAGGAAGGACTTCCAGAGGACCCAAAGCCAATGTGTCAATGAGGAGGGAGGAGGAGACATCCCTATCCTTTAAGGAGAGGGGCTTCCATCTCTTCAGTCTTGTGAGCATGGACAGCCCAGGCTAAAGCAAAAAACTGGACCAAATGACCTTTGGAGGGATGTAGTCTGAAGCTCTTATGCCCCCCAAGGAGCAGACGCCAAGCTGAGATTAGACATGCAAGAGTCACTAGGGGACACCTGCAAAGGACACAGACGGGAGCAGGAGGTAGCAGGGAGAGCCCTAGAGCACGATACTGATCTGCCCTCACGAAAGAAGGTGGGGAAAGAAGGGCTGAGCAGGAAGTCTCAGGACGGCAGCGCAGTGTAGCTAAGTGGTGTGCCATCCTTGGGCCATCATTGCCCATAGGACATCCTAGTCCCTAAGGACTCCTGCGTCCCACAGGAAAGGGCCCCCAGCCGGTCTAGTTGTTGGCTGAGAGCAATGTGGTCTCCGCACAAATGCTGGGTGGATCCAGAAGGGTGGCAGCCGGGGCTGCAGCCAGCCATGCTCCACAGCCATCCAGGTCCACACTGCCACCCTCCGCCGGGTGCTGAGATCTGCTCTTCCATCCAGGAGCAAGGAGTAGCTTCTCCATGATTCAGCGCACCTCCCTTCCTGGGGATGTGGCCCCTGTTGTGACAGCAGATCTTAGGGCCACACCGGTACCCATCCTCTCCTGTCCATATCTCTTCTCAATTCCCCTCACTCAGCTGTCTCCACAGCAGGTCTTGGTGGCTAACCTGGTGGTGTGAACAAAAATGTTATTCCTGAGGGCCCTGAGGCCTTGTTAAGCATGCCTTCCACAGGCCAGGGTTGTTACAAGTGTCCGTCCCCTTAAAACAGGAGAGGCACCCAAGGAGGCCAAGTGTGGTTCCACACGCGTTCCTCTCTAGCCCTACTGCTCAGCAGCAACCCGACCTCCTCCTGCTGATGGGTCATTACCCCTGCCAGCACACAAGCTCCTCTTCTTCCCTGCTGGCCCCAAACACCTGCAGTCCAAGGGCCCAGGCAGCAGCCCTCGCTTACCGTCTGTAGGCCCCTCCCTCCTGCAGAGCTCAGAGCTTCGGGAATAAAAGCACAAAATTCCCCCATTGGGTCACTGGGTGTGATGGTAACTGTGACCTGCTCCTGCTTTCTTTTTTGTTTTTGTATGTTTTTGTTTTTATCTTTTTATTTTTTGTTATTAGTTTTGTTTTTGTTTTTGTTTTTGTTTTGTTTTGAGATGCAGTCTCACTCTGTCGCCCAGGCTTGAGTGCAGTGATGCAATCATGGCTCACCACAGCCTCCGCCTCCCTGGTTCTTTACCGCAGCCCCTGTCCTTGGAGCACTCTTATTCCAATAATGTCCAAATCACACTAAGAGTCAAAGAACTGCAGTGCCACTGAATAGCCGGGGGTGGGAGTTGGAGCCCTGGGTTCTAACCATGGTGATAGTGCTTCTCAGTTCTATTTTCCCATTTCACAAAAGAAAAACTCGAGCAACCTGTCCATCAAGCCATAGCAGGGGGCCCAGTGAAAATGTAAAGCCAGGCCCTCTGACTCTAAGTTCCGTTTATGCCACAGGAGCCTCCCTGTGACCCCTTGCACGTCACGTCCCGTCTCCAGGCATCTCTCGTCCCTCTGCAAAATGATAGGGTTTGCACAAAGACAGTGGGGCCAGGAGTGGGACCCACCATGCCTCTGTCCACCCACGCCCAGGGCCTAAGCGGACACAGCTTAGCACAGCAGGTAAATGTTTTGTGACCAACTTTTGTAAACACTTTTTCTAAACCTTTCTCTGTTGTCACTGAGTAATTGGTGCTCTGCATCTCTCTCTCTCCCCCACGCCACCTCCCCTCAACCCTCCATGGTTCCCTTCTCCCCCTTATGCACCCCCACACCTCCCCATCTCCCCCGACGCGTGGCTCTGGGGTGCCTCATCTGGTCCTGACCACCCCCACCCACCCCTCCTGCCACCTGTCCCTTCTGCATCATTCTTAGGGCTCTGGCCTAAAGGACACTGACATCCACTATGCAGAGCTGGACACCTCTGCCCTGGAACTAGTGCCAGGGCTGCGGACCCCTGTGCCAGGGCCTGCAGAGGCTGTGGAGTATGCCACCATCCAGTTGAGCCCATCCTAGCACGTAACCCCTAGCCACCCACCCCTGCTTCCGGACCACAGGTAAACCCACCCCCTCCCTTCTACTTTGTCAGCCCTTCTTGCCCTTCCTGGCAGGGCCTACACCCCAACTGCTGGGCCTCGGCAATGAAAGGGTGAGGGAGGTGGGTAGGGGCATGTGAGCACAGGAGAAGGAACGTGGACCAGGAGCCCACAGGGCAGGCATGTTGTCCCATTTCTGTCACACACTGTTTCCCCTCTCTAAGCCTCAGTTTCCCTACCTGTGAAACCCAATCAAGTCTAGGGCCCCTTTGTGTTCCAAGAGTCCTCCTTATCCCTCTGTGGCCCCCAGAAGCAGCCCCACTCCCTGCATCCCAGCTGGCCCCCTAACACTCACCAGCGAAGTGCTCCACTTCACTTTCTTACCAAAGAGCCCCCGGGGTCAAGGCTGCACACCCACATTTCCTCTTGACCCCCTGGCCCAGCTGGACAGTTGAATTCAACCAACATTTATTGAGTGCCTGCTCATTCCAGGCCCTGCACAGAGGGCCTGGAGTTCAGGGCGGTTCCTTGCCTTGATGCACTTTCTGCAGAGTAGCCACCTCAGGACTCCTAAGCTCTGGGCTGAAGGGGAGCCTACAGGCTCTGCAGGGATGGGTGGTGAGCGGGGCTCTCTCTACCTGGGCCCTGGAAGATACTGCGAGGTACACGGAGGCCACAGTGCAAAGAGCCCAGACACTGCCCACATGGCAAGATCCTAGGAGTTTCTGCAAACATGTGACCTCCCCGAGAGTCAAAGGAAGGTGAAGATGTCTCAGAATGAGGAACTGGAATCAGAGGGCTGAGGACTCAGGCCAAGGGGCCACGTACGGTGAGGAAGCCTGGCCTCGGGCCTTGTGGTGAGTGGTTTGGGATGAGCAGGGTGGGAGGGGACAGAGACAAGGACAAGTGGAGGAGACAGGACCACTGGGATGAACATGACAGAGCCGAGTGTGAGAGGGGTCCCATGGGCCCAGGAGCCAGCAGGTCCCAAGAGGGCTGGCACAAGGGGATGGACCCAGGAAGGGGCTTCCCTGGTGGTCCAGGAGAGCCTGCTGGGTCCCAGGACCCACAAACGACAGAACTCTGCTCCCCACTTCCCAGTGTTCCCCATCCCTGCTACATCTCAACAACCTCCCATCCTCCTGTGACACGCCATCCTCTGTCACCTCAACAGAAATGTGCTTAGCCTCAACAGCCCGCTTAGGTATGGAAGAGTGAAGAGCCAGGGGGTGCAGGGGCATCTGAGGCCATCTGCACAGCATCCTTGGAGAACCTGGCGTGGGAACCAGGATGTGTCCCTGCTCCAGCCTGTCCTCTCCCTCATCAAAGAAAGGGTGCTGTGGACATGAGGAAGGGGCTGGGTGCCAGGTGCAGTTCCTCCCCTCCCCAGCTCCAATAAGCCAAGGGAGGCATGCTTGGCTACTGCAGCTCTTTGTGAGGTCTGGGTCCCGGGAGAGGCCAAAGGGAGGAAGGTTTGAGGCTCGGAGTGGGGATGACAGACTGAGGGGCCAGAAGAAAAGACATTCATCTCATAAACTCTAATTTGGACCTCTTCCCGGCCTCTCTGAAGTACGTGGAGTTGGGGTGGGTGTAATCCTGAGTGCCCCTGGAGGAAACCCAGGAGAGGGAGGGGTCTGCTGCTGCCCCCTCATTGGGTTTCACTTTATGCCCTGGCCCCAGAGAGGCCCTCTGTTTGGGTGCAGGGTCTGAAGGGCGCTGGACCAGGGTGCCAGGACAGGGGAGGCACTGCGGGCAGCTGAAGGAGGCCTGAGAGCGTGGGGGATGGGAGGGCAGTGCAAGGCACTGGGTGGGGTGGGGTTGGGGGATGACTGGGAATTAGCCCTTCCTGCCTGCAGCCTGCCCCACCATGCACTCTCACTGGCCTGCTTGGCAGTCCCGCAGGAGGAACCAGGATGTCAGACAGGAACAGGTGCCCCACCATGAGCCATGTGGCAGATGCCCTCCCCCATCCCTCATCCCGGCCCCCTCGCCTGGGGTACAGGCCTCGGCAGCAGATCCCAGAAAAGTCCTGGATGTGAGCTCCTCGCCTCCCCCTTACCCCATCCCCAGGCCATTGGATGAGGCCTCAGCCAGGACCTTGCTAGAACCTCTGGATGGTTAGACACTAACAGTCAGCCCGTGGCAGAGCCAGTAGGGCCTCCCTGGGAAGAGAAGGGGGATTTGAGGCTGGGGATGGGAGGTGAGGAGCTGCTGGGCCTAGCCTCGCTCCGCTCCTGCTCCCGTATCTCCCCTGTCAACTGCCCCCCAACCCCCCCCTCCCCCGCTCCCAGCACACTCAGCCCTTCTCCCTCCTTGCCCTCCCAATCTGCCCACAGCATTTCCTTACCCCCAGTTCTTCTCACCAGCCGCTCAGGCTCTGTCTCCCAGCTCCCAGTCTCCAGGGCCCTCATTCACACATCTGTTTCTCTCCTTGTGGCTGCCCCCTGTCTCTCCCACTCTGGCTTCCCCTGCCCTTTCATCTCCCCCTTCCCCATGCTCTCCCCACTGAAGCTGCTGGTTCCAGAGGCTGGGACTTCAAAAGGAGATCAAAGCTGGGCTCCCCCATCAAAGACTGGGCTCTGCCAGGAGCAGCCCCCTCCCATCAGACTGTAACTCTCCCTGACAGGCCAGAGTCCTGCATTCCAGTCCCCTGGGAAGCACATTCTCAGCCAGCACCCGGTGCTGGGCAGACCACTGGGGTAAAGCTCCTGGCCTGTGAGTTTCAGGGAACCAGCTGGAAAGCTGACACAGCCAGCCTCTATTTGGCTGTGTGACCTTAGGCAAGTCACTGACCCTCTCTGACTCAGAGTTGTGTTAGGTTTTAAATAGGGCTATTACGGAGTTTGTTGGGTTGTTGAGTGAATTAAAGGAGAGAAAGCAGGTAAAATATCTAGTGCTATGCCTGCTTTATAGTAGGTGCTCAAGGAATTGCTGCTGTTAACACTACTCCCATTACAAAGTCCTCTGCATGAGCACCTGTGGAGCTGAGAGCAGAGGTGCCGGGAATAAGGCTTGCTGATGCCCTGAAGGGCAGGGGGACCCCGACATGCCCAGTTCTGGGCCCCACTCCACACAGAGGCTCCATATAAACCCCATTCTCTAGGCTGGGGCTTTGCAGGATGTAGTGGCCACTTCAAAGCCCCCCATTGCCCTCCCCCACCAGGCACTGGGCTCTCTCCCCAGGCTTCATTCCTCTGCCAGGCCACCACCTCGCCCTCAGTCTCTGTCTGCAGTCCTCCTCTTCGCCCTCAGCCCAGCCCCACATCCCTTAAGGGGATGAAGGCGTCTGGATGGGGTGGGAGGTGGGGCTGAGAGGCCAAGGCTGCATTTTGGAAACTTTTCTTGGCTCAGAACTTCAGAGACGACGTGACTTGAGTAAGTCCCTAAACCTCCCAAAGCTTGTTTTCTCATTTGTAAAATAAGGGGTTAGCTGCCTCAAATCCTCCTTAGGAAGCAGACTCTGTCTACATGATAATTTTAAAGAACCAGGGAGATAGAACTCAAAGATCTCTGAGCTCCCTGAGGATGGGGGAGACGAGGAAGTGCTCATCTCCAGTCTGCCCTGCCTCCCACAGGCGGTTGGTGCTGACACACCCCACG